AAGATTCTTCTCACTGTGCAATAGATAATAATTCAGTGAATACAAAGTCATGTCCATCCTAGAAAAAACAATGTTTACTATTTGGCAAGAAAACTTGTGATAGACCTTTTTGAAAGACTACAATGATTCGTAAAGGGCAAATTGATGTATTATAACAAATATTAAAATCATGTTAATATGAAACTTTAGTTACAGATGCCATCTGTTTTTCTAATTCCATCATCAGTTAGAAAAATAAATTAACTTTATAACTATAAGAAACATCACAAAGCAAGATGTTGTTGATACAGATAGAAGTTTAGAAAAAAAAAAAACAATTAAAATGCTAATATGTTTACTATTTATAGTGCAGGCTAGAAGAAATGTAAAAACATGCATGCATGCTGAGAACTCAGTAAGTGAAATTTACAACAGATAGCCTTTTCTTTTTTTTAGTGTTTACTATCTAGTTATAGCTAGTCATAATTAAACAGGAGTGTTGTTCATGTAAAGAAGTTAATGACTTAAGGACATTATATATTGTTAGTTATTATTCATTATCAAGTAATTTCTGACAAACACAGTTAAATGAGCAAGTTATTTTACAACAAACAATATTTTTAGCTAATACAGAATGATGAATATTAACTTCTCAATATTTTTTTAGTTAAAGCAATCTTAACCTAAGTAATTTGTGTAGCTTATACTAAATAAGCAATAGCGGTAAGTTAAAGCTACAGTTATTTATACATACAAAGTAACTCAAACAAAGGCATCAATGGCCACTAGGACACACCTTCACATTCCTAAATTGTGTACAAACAGAATGGTATGAGTAACAGCTAACATTTCAATTACTCAGATAATTAAAATAATTGAAGATAGTAATTATTGAATAAACACTAATTTTGGTTAGTTGAGTAGTTTATGATTAAGATAACCAACCTTAAATCAATTGAAAATAATGAAAAATCATAATGGTACTGTTTTGATCATTGGATAGTTGGAATAATTCAAAACACTGATTTTGATTATTTCATCATTTTTGTAATATTAATAATTTTACTAATAATTTCAATTAATTGCTGTGTGTAACTAATCAATGTTCATATGTAATCAAGTTAATTGCCCAGCTTTACATGATATAGTTATTAGTTGCATAACACAATTGTTACTTGTATATTAAAAAATGTCACACTAATAATCACTTATATTCTACCGTGTGCACCTTAAGTACAAACATTTACACAGTGCTATTACAAAAAATCTGTGTACTTAGGAGTAACACCCTTTACATAAACCTTTAGCCAATTTGCATTTGACTGAAAAACAAAAAAATTATTTTAAGTCATTTTTATAATGATCTACACATACAAACAGCAGAAAATAGTGTGCACATAATGGCGTTCTCTTTTACAGGATTTGTGGGTCCTAAAAAGGACCCGGAAGAAATGGGTAGGAAGAATTAGATAAGGAGAGAAAAGGAAGGTTGAATAAACTGAATACTGTATTTTCTTTGGTCTCGAGAAAGTTTTTAGATAGGAAATATTTAGAAGGACAATAGATGTTTAGAATATCTTTTGTTCAAGAGATAGGAAAAAAATTTCAACTTCCACTAGGGCTTGTTGTGGTTTTTCAAAGTGAAGTGGATTACGAATAACAGTTCATGACGATGCTTCAATAAAACTTTTTTCAGGCTCATTAGTCTTGCCAGAAAAGCTTTTAATCATAAGTTTGATAGAGAGGAAGGGGATCTGTGAAAGATGACGGTAACTTCTTTCTCCTAAGTCCAGTATATTAACATTCCAAAGGGCTTAAAGTGGGTATCCTGTGTGCTGAGCCAGTGATTTCATTTTGTGTGTCCTGTAAGGCTAGTCACGTGGAATGTTGGACTGAGACATACATTGTTCAATACATACAGCAAGCTGAGTCAATTCTGCCCAAGTCCAATATGAATTCTCATCCATGTTACCACAAATTTCCACAGGCCGTGGTCTCTCAGTAAATGCTGCAGTTACACTTGGTTCAATAGGGGTTGAGCTATGAAGCTGCTGCCAGTGTAGAATATGTTACATCACTGGAAAACTGAGACATTATTGTAATGCTCTCACACACAAAAACAAATTATCACAGCAAGGTCAACCCCATACCATTAACAGCAATAGTTTCCAACTCATGTGGACCAATAAAAATAACATCTGATGTATTTACAACTTTTTAAAAAACTATGTCTTTGTGACTAGACATATTTACATGAAGCCACCAAAATCACCACGTCACATTTTACTTAACTTACTCTAAGTACATAATACATATTTCATAAGCAGGCAGATTTGTCATTTTACAATTGAAATGGAGGGCGATTAACATTTTCTGAATAGCAAATATAAATAGAAACATCTTAATGCTTAAAATTTAAAACTTGATTTCAAATAAAGGGCTTTTCCTTTAGTGAAGGCCAATGCCCAAGTACATATTGGCACCTTTGACTTTAGGATAACAGATAAAATTCAGTTAGGCTTGTATGAAATTGCCAGGTTTGGTCCCAAAGAAAAGCCCTCTTATAAGATCTAAATAATTCACAAAACAGGGTTTAACTCCAGTGCTCTAGTATAACTTAACATCCTAAAATTCTTATAGTGATTGGTTTGATTTTACATATTATAGTAACTAAAATACTTACTGTACATTCACTGGTGATATTAAAGGGAAAACATTTGTAGTCTTAAAAAAATATACATATTTAAAACAAAATAAAATGAAATCCATCATGAGAATTTTTTGTCGTCGCTTTTGAGAAAAAAAAAAAGTTGTAACATAACTAACCTTGACATGGATTGGTCTATATAATTTTTTACATATTTTAATTCAGATCCTTTTTGTTATAAGCCATCATCTAGTAAATAATTTTGATTATATTTTTTTACATGACCCACATAATCCGATAATAAATGTTTCACTATTTATTTTGAAAATTTTGTAGACTCAATCATTAATTTTTTCAAAGTGTTCATCTATGGATTACTTATGATATACATGTTAAGAATTAAAAAAAAGGGGCAAATACATAACTTCAATAGCTTTTAAGGTTGTCAAATCCCTATTACGTACTTAAGACATGAAAGCAACATTTTCAATAACATATTAGTTTAACCCTGATCATAAAACATGAAATCTTAAAGGAAATCTACAAATATCTTATAATTATTTAAGAAACTGAACCTGTCTTAGTATCATGTGCATTTCAGCTTTTGTGTACTTAAAAATTATATTTAATTAAATCCAAATCATTAAGTGAACAAATTATTGCAAGAATTTTTTTTTTTAGTTTTATACTGGTTTGAAGCTTTATTACCAAAATTATATTTGAAATTTTTTCAGGAGGTAACCTCCAAAACATAAACACCTGTCACAAGCTTTCAAACAAAATATTAAAATAATAATTAGAAAATAATTGTTATTCTTAACTTTGAAAAAACTATATACATTAATATATGGGAAGAGAAAAATGAAATTCAAACTGCAGTCTTTCCAATAAACAGTTACCCTCCCACATAATACAAATACTTAGTATAAGATGCATTGAAACTTGCAAGGTATTTACCATGATACTATACAAGATCAGTTGTTTTTGGAGAACAAATTTATAAGACAGTGGTTAATCTCATAACAGCACTTGTATTGCTCAGTATACATCTAGGAAACACTATTTGAATATATTTATGTATATGTTGTCTGTATAATTTGAAAGTTGCCAATATTAAATTTGAAACCAACACAAAATTCTCTTATTGTTTTGATATATACAGTTCAAAATCTGTTAATGATCTAACCACTGTCTTAACAGTTAAAAGCAAATCTTACAGGCTATCTAGCTTATATACAAGCAAACAACTGCAAAATACCACAAATACCATCATTCTGTTTAATGTATATTATAAAATCTTTTGTACAAGTGTAGTATAAATGGCAGGGTGATTTAAAACAAACTGCCATCATAAGTTAGCAGGGCAGATCATTAGGCTTGTACTTTCAGGAGAACTTTCAAGTGATTAGTCATATCCAAACAACTGCCTCCACAAGTATCTTCAAATGACAAATAGGACTTGGAACTTATGTTATAAAATGGAAGCTTATTTGATCTAATCTTCTCCATCCAGTGTGTTGGTGGCTGTGGCAGTTCAGCTGGAGATGGTGGCTCACTGAATTTAGCCCCTGCATAATTATTATTACAGCCAATTAATGTATCTGCTCTGTTTGGTGACATTCTCAATGAACATGTAACCAAGCTGTTTGGATTTTCAAATCCATTCAAGGAGTTATCCATGCTTTGCTGTGCACACTTAGTTTGGTATTTATAATTATTTGCACTTTTTGATCTGGGTTTCATAAATGAAACAAGTTTTGGTGATGTATCATTCTTCATTTTTTCAGTTTGAAAGCATGTATTCCATCCTCTTTTTTTACCTTTTTTATCTAGTCTTGGTGGCGTTATCATTCCATAAATGGAAATTCCAACATATTTATCACTATCCTCTTCATTATGAGCATGAGGATTTACAATAGGCTTAAACCCAAATCTCCTAGCCATACTGAACCAAAATCACACTATTGGTTATTTATAATCTGATCCTAGTTTTTTGTTTTTACGTTATTTATTGTTAAGCTTGACTTTATAAATTAGGGAACTTAATGAAACAAGTTCGTGTCAGTAGTACTAGTAGTATTATTATTTAATTACTTGCCAACTTAAACTTTAACTTAACTACACCTAGGTTTATTTTAGAAGGAATTTTAGTAATATTACTTAGTAATAGTACAACAGAATACAAATACTTAAACTTCCATAAAAATAAAATTACAAATTAAACTGTAAAGTGGTTTTTTAAAATAATAAATGTGATGGGTCTTACTGGAATTAGTAGCCTAACTAACTTAATCATTAAATTTATGTTTACGACAACTTGTAAAGCTGTAATAGGCTTAACGTTTATTTTACTAATAATTAATAGTAACACTACCTATTCTACTCTAGTCTCTAGTATCATTGTGACTTCGGTGGCCTACTGTAGTTCTTTAAATCACAATCGACTATAAAATCGTGGAATCCTTACAATCTATCTTCAGATGTTGAACTTGAAACTATGTAAGTTATAACACTATTAGCATGTTAAGAGTGACTTAGTTAAAGGTTAAAAAGTTTTTCCTCTCTCAACATAAAACTGTCCAATATGGCGACGTTTTTCAGTTTCACTCGGAGTGAAATAGTAACAAAGGTCTGTCGAAGCTTAGGCGTAGTCCTGCCAAGTCAGATTTACACCGTAACTCGATGAAGTAAAATAGATATTGCAACTTCAAAACCGGAAACTTCTCTTCTTTTTCCATAAAATCCCTTCCTCTCAAAACAGATCGAGTTTCTTGCTACTCAATTTTCCATATTATTAAAAGTTTATAATATACAAGAAATCGAACAAATGAACAACTTCTTTCCTCACACAACAGTCCTACCCACCTTCTAGCGTTACCTAAACAACGTATTTCCTTGCTATGAGATCATCAAGAAGAGCGTCGTCACGTGAAGTTGTCAGCCAATAACAATTGTACTTATAAAACAGTACTTCATAGGACGTGGACATTTCTTTAAAACACACGTACACGAAAGAAAAACTTATTGTATTGAAGAAGATTCGTTTGTTTGTTATGAATTTCTAATAAAGCTACACGAGAGCTATCTGCGCTAGCCGTCCCTAATTTAACAGTGTAGGACAAGAGGGAAGGCAGCTAGGCATCACCACCCACCGCCAACTCTTGGGATATTCTTTTACTAACGATATAGTGAGATTGGACCACACATTATAACGCCCCCACGGCTGAAAGGGCGAGTATGTTAGGTGTGACGGCAAGTAGTGAAGATGAATAAGTTGACATGTTACATCGGTTTATGTACATGTTGCCTTTACTTCTTTGTTTTACTTGTTTTCATACTAAATATATTTCGCTGTCAGAACATCATCAAGTATCTGTTATTTATTGGTTCTTCTTTTCATAAAAAATAAAGGTTTGAAGTACGTCTTGATTAAATAAAATAAGTTTTTCTTTTGTAGGCGTTTGTTAAAAACCATAAGACAGAATTTCTATTCTTTTATACAAGGGCTTTTTGAAAATACTTGTGGTATCCATTAACCGTTCAGTACTTCATACATACATACATATAATAGTACTGTGAACATATAAAACAATATTTTGTTTTTACATGTATCTGAATTATGTTATTGCTTGTTTAAAAAATTATCACAGTTATCTGTCTTGTAAGTTATTTTGTAGGAAGAATGCTGTCTGTGTTCAATGTCGTTTGTTTAAAATGTAGTATAAATTGTATGCATTAGCGTTGTTTGATGAAGTCTTATGCAATAATTTTTTCCAGTTTTGAGTTTTGGAAGTAGTTTTGATATATAGTATGGTATGTGAAGTATCTCGGAGTGTTGTAGTGTCTTCAGTGAGTCAATCAAGAGTCCTGTATCAGAGTAACAACGTGATTGTGTGACCTAAAAACTGGGTAGCTAGGCCTGAATGCGGTACAGTTTGGAAAAGTGAAATATTTTGTACAAATAGCTAATAAACCAGTAATTCAAATTAATGGTTACAGCCCGATGCTGCGAAGAGCCATACTTCCGAAGGGCTGATATTCCGAAAATTGAACGTAAAAGCAGTTACACAAGTAGGCCCAATGCTCATTCAGGTTGTGATATTATATTGTTACGACAGCGGAAGTCACGTGCCCCTGGTAACACGTAATGAGTTCTAGAAAGATCTGAGAACATGACGAATAATCCAGTACTTGCTAGGCGCCCTCTATTCTTGTATATAAGTGCGCCAGAGAATGACTATGGAATAGAATTGCAGACAGGCAGGGATAGAGACGGACAACTGAGTCAAGCGCGATAGTAAGTAAAATGCGTGAATCGTTCATTGTGAATTATAGCGTGTGTTAAGTTAAAGTAACTGTGGGAAGTAAGTGTATTGCAAAGTTGTACTGAAAAAGAATAAACTAGTTTTATTTAAGTAAGGACTTGTATCGCTGAAGTTTCTCGGGAAGAATTTCTACGGGAAATTGACAAACGAACAGAGACGTAACAATATGAATAGTAGTAAGTGTATAATGTTATATTAAGAACACAAGTCAATAACATTTTGAGGGCCTCCCAGTGGCACAGCGGTATGTCTGCGGGCTAAAAACCGGGTTTCGCTACCCGTGGTGGGCAGAGCACAGATAGCCCATTGTGTAGCTTTGTGCATAAATTTAAAAAACAAACATTTTGAGGTGTATTTGTAATTATGCCAGAGACCTATGTTATTATTACCAATTAAACCTTTCTAATCTGTTGAAAAAATATGTCAAAATTCTCCTGATAATAATATCACTATTATTATTATTATGGAAACATGATGAAGAAGCAGAATAACAATAAGAAGAATAAACCCAACTCCAGTACTGGTGGCAGAAATTTTTCGGAATATTGGTCTGTCCCCAAATTAATACATGGACAACTCTGCGGTTTAATTGTACCACTGTAACAGTAACATAATTTACAGATAATTGTGTCAGAAACATTCTACCTTCAAATATGTATTTTTCAAAATTACTCTAAGTAATCTTTTGAACTTGAATTGAAGTTGGCATTATTACTAGAGCAACCTTGGAGAGATTATTGGAGGGAAGAGAGTGTGTGATAATGGTGGTGCCCAATCCCTCAAGGATAAAATAGTAAAGTATAATAATAGCATGAAAATCCTCTTAGTTACGTCCCCCAATAGCGAACTTGTACGTCTCAAGGCTTACATAACGCTGAAAACCAGGTTTCAATAGCCGTTGTATGTGTGTGTGCACAGCATGGATAGACCATTGTGCAGCAATGCGCTTAACAACAACTAAACGATCATTTTATTTTTACATTGGTAACCTGGTGGTAAAATATAATTCATTATAAAAAATTATACACAATAATTCATAATGTATAAAGTAAAAGCTGTTGCTTTCGGCCAGTTGCCTCACTGTAGCAGGGAATTTGGAATTAGAAACCATGCAATGCTATGTAGATGATAGACTGATATACGAGCAGATTAAATAAATAATAATAATCTGTGTAATGTTATCTGAATATTAAATTCTAAGCATTTTTAAAATGACCTTTTGTTTTTATAAGTTCTTGATTATATTAGATATAACATGAGCAGTAATAAATACATATTTTATTGCTGGATACCACCCACTCAAATTACTTATCTGAATACTAAGAAGTATGTTTGTCCTTTCACACAATAATATCAGAAGTTCTCTTACAAACTTTCTATCATTGGGATCAATAAGCGTTATTTTCAGGTAACTTCATTCCTCATCAAGTATTAGACAGGCAAACTCGCAAATAATAGCCATCTGGTAAAGTACAGGTTTCTTCATGGACTCTGAAGGTCCTCCCCATCAATGGTAGTAGTGAAGTGGCATGTGGTGAAGCCTTCACAGCCTGTGGGCTTCTGATGATTTTGTTTTTTTACCAATAGTAATGGGGGCCATCAAAGTCTCTGCCACTGTTCTTGGTGCCAGATCTCTGCACTCCTTTTCCAGTGCCTAACTACCTCCTCGAGATGACTATAGTTTTGAGAACATTTTATTGGGATTTGTGATATAATATTTTCATCAGAAGTGATCACACATTTAATGGTTCCTCCTAGTTGTAATAAGGCATCCCATGATGGGACGCCTCAGAAGAGGTTCCCAGTGTTTCAACGTCCACTTTTGCTCCTTGTCTGCTTTATTGGCGGTGATGATGGAGTCAACAGCTGTGGCTGAGCTGTCTTTAGACTCAACTGGACTGGTATATAGGTGATCATCAGTAATAGTGTCTCTGAGGCTATGATGGTCCCTTTGTCTATTGAGGGCTTTACTTCCATAGATGGGTTGGCAACTAATTTGGGCTGCCCAGTCCTGGGAGACTTCGAAGTCAGCCTGTCAACTGCCTTGACTAGCTCACTAATGTCGGATGCATCACCTACTAATATATATTTATTCATAGGGCTCTAGTGGCTTAAAAGTCAAGGCAGCTCCAGATGTCTCTAGGCTGTTTATTATAACTTCCTTCCATGGCAGCTCAAAAAAAGACGTGGAGGTTGAGGCAAACACTGGAGAATAGAACACTCTGGCTAGATGAAAAACAAGAAAGACATATGGGTTAAGAGTTTGATCTTAAATAACAAAAGTCCAGATTGAAGATTTCAAGTCAGATAAATTCCAAATGGTCAGAAGTTTGGCTTAGTGTGTAGATTTTAAATAGGGTCATAACTATTTGGTTACAACCATACTTTCTCCTAAAACTACATTTAGGGTTAGAGTGCTAAAATGATTACCTTAGACTTCACATGTAATAACAGCTATACCATCCATAGAAAATGTATCCATAAAACCTGTGAATTTCTTAGTCCCCATGCTTCATTAGGTCTTAGCTTGATCAATATCTATAGCTGTGTTGCCCCTGTTGCCATTCTCGTGATAATGGCAAACACAGGTTATCTTTTAACCCAAATGTTACCATCTGGTTGTTACATAAACAAATCTTGGGTACAGTAGGAAAGATATGGGATCAAGACTGCCAAGCTGGGTCCTACATACATGAGCTGACTAGGGTTAGTCACTTTATGAGTGTCAACCTGTATTTCTGACTATTAGAATTCACAAAGACTTTGATCAACTCTCCCTCAAGACTTTCTTCCATGTACTAACTAGGTATGATTTTAAAAGTTTTACCATATGGGTGTTAACTTTCCACCTCTGGCATTACACTTACAGCTTATATTTTCATATATCTTTAACTGTACCTTTTACTGGAACAATAATGTAAAAAATATTCAGCAAAACCGCGTGCTTATTAAATATTTCACTCTGGATAATTGAAAATATTCTCATCATAACCAAATAAAACATTTGGTACACCAAGTTTATATTTGATATGATATCTAAACTACTGTCAACGAATTTCATTTACTACTGATAATTTTACCTAATAATAATGAATACTAATGAATATTTCAGTTCGATCCAATCGATATATCTTGCACTTCTCAAACAGTTAAAAACTATTTTAAAAAACAGTTAAACTATTTTCTCTCTAACGTAGAGTTAGTTTATTTGTTACTCTTATCCTTCAATGGAAATTCCCTAACTGCTAAACATTTCAATGCTGAAATTAAAACCTTCTCTCACAAGTTCTAATGAAAATAACAAGTACACTGCACTTTCAAATAATATGTTACATACCAGTAATCACAGCTATGTATTAGAGGTGACTTCCGTCTAACTACCTTGGTACAATAACGCCTACTGTGAAGATAACTTCTGATTATATTAGGGTCACACTTGCACCTGTTTGTCGTGGGTCTTTCTCCATAGTTATCCTTACAGTACGAAGAGAAAGTTCTGTTAATTTGGAATGCTCAGGTGGTGCAGAAAATGTTGCTTTCTAACACGACTGGAACTGCATTATCATACAATTCCTGAGGTCCCT